AGTTAAAAAAAAGGCAACCTAAACAGCAACTCCGTTACTTATCATCAGGAGAGCAGGAGTTTAAATTAGCTAATCAATCACCTGTGTCGATCACTTATTAGTAATCGCAAAATAAACATCAAACCTAAAACTGTAACAGACTGAATATTCTGTTTTTGTGTGGGAAATGTTTGCGTGTTTATTGGTGTTGAATACTGACACATTAGTGGAGTTGTCAGTCAATTGCTATGGCAACGAGACACAGAGTGTGAGATGAGAAGAATAGGAGTGGTTTTGAGTTATTTTTCAACAGTTATTTTCCCTTTGCAGCAGCGCACTCCACTAAATGAATGGAATGATACCTACATCTTCAGGTTTCATTAGGGTTAGGGTTATTAGGCCATTTTGTTGCGCAGCTACGGATGGCAAGAAGAAGAGCCTTTTTGCCCTTTGGCATTGTTCGCGTGTGTGCAGTTTCCAGATGTAAACGGTAACATGCAAAATGTCTGTAAATAATTGACTAATCACAATTTGTCTGATTAATTATTTCATTTTTCTCTTGCTGCTTCACAGGATCTGCAGACTCCGACAGCTGTTTTCCCCTCGCGGCCCACGAAGGAAGAACTGGTGCTACCTGAGCCAGGAGGCGGCCCAGCTGGACCGAGAGGATCCGTTTAAGACGTGGGACCACCTAATCATGCCTCTCAGCTTCCCTGGTCTCGATTTTGAGCAGATGTCGACGGAGCGCAGCCACACCGCCCCGGAGAAGACGACTTTCCGCATCTACTACAGCCCCCCGTCGGCCCGCAGAGTCCAGCTGGCTCAGCTGAAGCAAAGCCCCGCTGCAGACCGGGCGTCCGTGGAAACCTCGTCTCCCTGGTGCACGCCGCCGACATCCTTCTCTCAGCTCTGCCTGGGCTCCTCCGCTAACCTGAGCGACGACATGAAGGAGATGACGGCCAGTTGGAGGCAGATGGTTCACGCCGGCTCTCCGGAGAAGAAAGGGAGGCTAGCAGACCGCTGGGTGGACGTAGCCTGCTCAGGTACGCAGACACACACGAAGCCGCAGATGGTGAGCGTTGGCCAGCAGACGGATGAGACTCAGGGGTTGAGAAGCGGGTCCTCTCTGGTTTCTGCTCGTTCCCAGCACATCTCCACCTCGCTGGACGGGCTAGCAGGTCGACGGAGCTCTACTTCCTCCCCCAAACCGTTCCGCAGACACTCCTCATCTCCTTCCTCGCCCCCCAGTTTGAGCTCATCTTCGTCGTCCTCCGGCTCCAGAGATCGAGGGCTGTGGCACCCGTCGCAGCAGAACTCAAACGGCCTTACCTGGACTCGGCAAACTGGCACCAGATCAAACCCAGCCCAGAACCTGAGTCCCTCCAAGCTGCCCACCAGATCTGCCAGCGCAAACCGGTGCGGCTTGGTGACCGAGTTCCTGCGCCGGGTGAGCGGCCGGGCAGACAGAGCCACTGCGGGGTCGGGCCAGAAGACGAAGAGCGGGCTGAAGAACCTGGAGCGGGCGCCGACCAGACCGCTGCAGAGGAACGACAGCGTGACCCGGATCGTCAACCAGAGGTTCATTAAGCAGAGAGAGAGGGAGGAGAAGGGAGGCGGCGTGAACCAGAGAGCCAGAAACAGTCAGAGCACGGCCGCAACAGAGGTGAGGAAAGAAACGTGTCATCCTAACGCCTCCGGGCAGGGCTGGGCGATAAGTAGGTTTCATCAATTTCTTTTGGTTTTGGAAGATAAAATTTTTGGAAAATCTGAATTTTTGTCACCTTAAGGGTGATTTCAGCACATCCACTGCAATCTCTTGTTTAACAGCTTCTACAGCTTCTATTTATTTGGACTTACAACAGCATATTGGAGCAATTGTGGGTAGAAAAAACTCTGAAATGTATACATTAATCTCAGAAATTTTCTAGAAAAAATGAGAACATTTCTTAGTTTTGAAACTTAAAGGTTTCATATTTGTGGAGCACTTTAGGATCTATAACACTAAAACAGCAGCTAAATTATTCCTCATAGATTAGGTTTGACATAAAACACCTAACTGTAGGTTTCAGTCCTTAAAAAAGCTGTTTGTTTTCATTAACTTAAATCATTATCAAAATAGCACTGCCACTGAAACTAACAAAGTGGATTTATTATGCAAAATTCACATTTTGCATGTTTTTAATACTTCTATTTGGTCCTCAACTGCTTCTAAAAACAGCCCAAGAGCTTAAAAAAACACCTAACCGTTTTTTACAATAATTTAATGTTTTTAGCTATGTGGAAAACGAGCAGTTTAAAAAACCTTGAGTCGCATTTGACAGGCACTGTGCCGTTACCTAGCAACCCCAGCCTTGCCAGCCCCGTTACCTAGCAACCCCAGCCTTGCCCAATCCCATTACCTAGCAACCAAAGGGAACTCTTCTCCATTTCCATTCTGGCTTCAATTTTGTTTAATTAATAATAACAAAGTGGAATATGTTGTTTTTAAATGACCATCACAAGAAGGTGTAGTTTTCACCCTTTTTGCAATGGTAATTTAGAAACCATTTAAATTACAAAAGATTTTTTTTTTGTAACTTCCTTCTTTTATTCTGTCTGACCAGGATGGAAACTACGACTGCAGCTCGAGCAGCAGTCTCACCTTCTGCTTCGCTCGTCCGTCTCGTCAGAATCAGAGGCCGACGTCCATCCCGCCCAAACTCCAGCGACACAGATACTCAGCGCCGGCGGGGGCTGCTGCAGACTCCAGCTGTGGCTGAGAAGAAGGAAAAAACATGGTGCTTTTTAGCTTAGAAAATGCCAGAGATAAGAACAGTGTAGGAGGGTTTTCATAGTTACAGTACAGCTGTTTTAAAAGGCAAAATCTGTTTTGTGTGGAGTGTTTAGGAGAGCTCTGAGCAAACTGTTGGTGCAATCTGAATGCTCATCTCTTTTTATCAGTGACTGTATTTGCTTAGCTTTTGATTCAATTTTGTATTTTCTAAATTCTATTCAATAAATTTTTGTTCAAACCTTGACCTATTATGCTTTCTTGAACAGGCTCAGATAGATATGTGCGCTATACAAAACATGTTAATTAAATTTTTTTTGCACAAAATAATTTTTAAATAATGAGATTTTGGTATGGTCAGTTCTGCCTATTATGATTTCCTCAGAATGAGCTGCAAAAAAAAAAAAAAAAATTTACAGTAAATTACCGGCAGCGGTGGCTGCAAGAATTTCACCGTATAAATACAGATTTAACCGTATTGATTCGGTAAAATTCTGGCAACCATAGCTGCTGGTATTTTCCCGTAGATTAGATTTTTTTTTTTTTTGTACAGTGTATTTAAGGGCCTCTTGTTCACTTTAAAAACAAATAACGTTTACACTCGCATGTGAAAATTGCTGTAAACGGATGCACAATTATACAGCCGCACATCTTTGAACAGCATTAGTAGAGCCTCCTGCACAACCAACAAGAGTGCAGCAAGTGGCTTCTGAATGGTAAGTCAACAACAAAACATTGCCTGTTCCATCAGCCATTGTACAGCGCATACACTGGTAAAACCAGCTGACCAAACATGCTGGAACTTCGCTTGTGTTGCTAGGTGATGTACTGGGCTTTGCTGGGGTTGCTAGGTAACGGAGCAATGCTCATTGAAAGTGACTTAGCATTTGGGAGGTTTTTGAAACGGCTCACTTTCCAGATACCAAACAACAAAAAGTGTGGGTGTTTTTCTCTTTAAACCTTTTTTTTTTAAAAGCAGTTGAGCTCCAAACAAGTACAGAAACACACAAAATGTGAATTTTGCATAATGGGTCATCTTTCACCTTCAAAAGCCTGATTACCTCCCAGTCTTTACTTCCAGGATGTCTGCTGACTGTTTACGCCACACGCTCCAAAAAGGAAACATCACCTTCTGAGAAGTTAATAGGATGAGATTTCCTCACTTGTTGAGGTCACCACCCTCCTCACCTCCTGCCTCTTTATCTGTTTGACTCTTTGCTTCCAGTGATGAGAAAAACAACAAGCAGGTAGTTCTATCGGATATGAATTTCTGAATCTCCCTCAGACTGATCTGTTCAAACACTTACCCCCTCACTCAACAGCTGGTCGGCTGCGGTCAAGGACGGCGCCAGCGCTGAAGCACACAGTCACACGGGAGTCAGATTTCTGCTCAACCACACGTGCTTAAGATCTACAATTTCAAACAAAACATGCTGAAATATCTGCTTTTCATTAAACACAACAGTAAGAAGTTACTACAACAATTAAAAAAGACAAATACTTTCTAACCCATATAGTAGCTATTGGTTTGTTTTTTTAACAAATCACTGCAGAAAGATGAATACAAGCCAGTACAGTGGCTTGGATTGCAGACTACAATGGAAAGTAGTCTGCAGTAGTTTTTATAATATAGTGGTATCACATTGCAACCAACTTGAACATATTTTATAGCAAACATGTTTGTGCAGTGGAAGGAAAACTATAAATGACTTTAATTTTTTTTTTAAATTCAAATTCAGAAATACTTTATTGATCCCAAAAGGAAATTAAATATTGTTGCAACTCATTAATTCAAAGTCTTCAAAGAGTTATTGTAGACAGTGATGGCTGTTGGCAGGAAAGATCTCTTGTAGTGCGGTCTGTATTACAGTGAGTTCACAAATTAAAAATAATTAACATAATTGTTTCTTTAATCTGTTATCACTAAGGATGTTTCACATCTGATATTCTGGAAGACAAATATGTTTATTTATTTATGAAGAATTCGAATAGTATCACATTTAGTTGGTCAGTTTCAGCATAAATTAATCTCAATATTTTAAATTGTGTGAAATTTAAGATTTAAAGTAGCTGGCAAGTTTACTTTGTAAAAGGACTGACAATAATGATATACAGTTATATAGTTATAGTATGATTCAAGGATCTAGTTTAATCTTTTTTGATTAAAGCTTGGTTTAATGCCTTTTTAACTAAATCTTTATTGAAACGCTGTGAGTGGAGATGATTGTACTAACGGGACGAGAGGCCCCAAATCTTCTCTCCTTCAGTTATACATCGAGTTTCGGTGCAGTACCACATCTCACCATCGGTGTCGCTGCAGCGGAAGCTGTGCTGTTTAAGTCAGATGAAGACCTTCTTCGGCGCATTGGTCATCAGGAAGCGTTTCTGTTTATGTTCACCAGGTGGAGCTTTCATATATATATATATTTATATATATATTAATGAAGCTAAAGTAAACATGGAGTCCGTATTTTCCCGGTTTGACTCCTATAATTTCGAGGCAGATGAGCGTTTTGCCGACGGCCTGAAGACTTTAAACTGCAGAGAGCAAACCGAGCTGCTAAAACTGAAGCTGTTCTTCTATAACAGGTCAACTTTGCTGTCATATCCATCCTCATATTTATTAACTTCTTTTGTTTTCCTTAAAGCTGTTAGTACACCTGCAGTGTTTATTAGATTATGGAGATGCTTAATCTTTCTGTTTATTTTTATTAAAGTGATTCTAAGCTACACATCTAAAATACCATAATTAGTCTCAAACATTTGTTTTTATTGCTATTCACAATGTTATGTTTTATTTTGCTACATTTTGCTACATTAGATGTTAGCAACCATAAATAGTATTTGTTTTGATTAATTCTCCTTTAACTGTGTCATTTTTATTTTTTAAAATCCCTCTTTCCTGTCCGTCTTCAGGTTTGTGGAACCAATAGATCAGCAAAGCTACAAACAGTGGATCTCTCTGTCTTGTAACAACCAGCAGGACCAAACTGCTCAGTCAGATCCAGACTCAAATGAAACAGAAATGTCTGCAGATGGAGAAACAAAGCAGCTTTCTTTTGCAGAGGTGATGCAACTGGTTCAAGAAGGAAGAGAAGTGCCAGGAGTGACGAAGCCGGACGTCCAGCCCAGCAACCAGAGTCCCACTCCGTCTCAGATGCAAAGAGTGCAGAAACCGTGGGAAACTACACCATCATAACTGAACTTCCACTTAAAAACCAATGTAAGATTTAAATGGCTGAAAAAATTACATGAACTCAAAGACTTTTTACCACATAAATCCTAACAGTGTTGATCTGTCAGATGCTGTGGAATCAACAGTCTAGCAATTTTTTTGTGGTAAGACTAAGAAATTAAGTTGTTAATTTATTATATTTTAGACTTTAGTCAGTTTTACATTGACTTACATGTCCTAAGGTTTTCAATTAGGTTTTGAGCAGAACTGCATAATGTCTGAACTTTTGGTTTTCAATCTGTTCCTCTTTTTTTGTCAGTTTTATCAAAATAAAACTTGGGAAGAAGAAAACACTGATTTAAAGATAAAAGAAATGTTCACGCTCATCCGTCTGGTCCTGTAGCGTAAAATGGTGGCTCCCACAGATGTCTTCAGATGAGTGGACCAGGCTCTATGCAGGCATCTGAGAAAATTATTTTGCTGTTTAACTGCTCCAGCTATAATCTGTGCCATGAATGATACCCTCTGTAACCGAAACTGCAAGTAGTTCAGTTAGAAATCGTGACTTTTTGTCATCCCAATCTGTGTGCTCATGTAATAAAAATAAAAGTTCAACTTTGCACATTTTATACAAAATCTAGATGAGGTGACATGGCTTAAAAATAAAATCTCAGATTTTTTCATACCAGATCCAATTTCTTGTTTTAATTTATATATATATATTTTGCTTTCTAATATAAAAAATAAATGACACAAAAATATTTTCTGTACAGTTTCCATGTGTCACGTTTTGTAGCTGACAGCCATCTTAGTAGATACAGTAACTGCCATGACAGTTGCTATGGAGTTGCTATGACAACAAACTTAGAACTAGCTCTCGCCTCGCTCCTGTTTAATTTATGAGCAATACAAAGATATTACAACTATTACTCGATTACAATTTGAGTACCCACCTGTGTAATACTAAGATAAATATCAGCGATATTGTAGTACTTACTGCCAAACTAGCAAAATTAGCATAGCTAATGTAGCTTTTATCTGCTAGCTAAGACGGACATTTAGCCTAGCTTTGTGTTACTACATGTACTTACTCTGCCAGTCACCAGAACCTTGTTATTCACATGAAGAGCTCGTATGTCCTTTATAAATCAGTTGAAACGGAGCTTGTATGCGTCCATAGATTTCAGACGAAACTCATCCATGGTGTAGCACTCTGTGTTCACTAAGCAATGAACTATATCATAGTAAGAGATCGGAGGCAGCTTGTCCGCATCGTTTAACAAGTTTCCATATATCACATTTTGTTGATATATCTTTCTCTCGCACATTGTCAAGATACTGTTTGTCTTGAAGCCATGGTTCGTATTCCTTGCTCTGTACTTACCTACTAAGATGGCGCGGATCACTTCCGGTTCAGACTTATGATAACCATATTTTTAATTCTAATCACGAGAATATAGTCATGATATTGGCAGAAAAAATATGCAATTTTATCAGAAAAAAAGTAAAAATTACGAGAATTAAGCTAAGATGGAGTCAACAGGATCTTACGTGAGCAGCACATCAGCATGTTTGTTTCTTCAAAATAGACTGAATAATCCAAACCAAAGTATAACTTCACAAGATGCTCAACATTCCTCATTGTAATTTGTGTATTCTCATCAAATTAATACTTTATTCTGATAATATTATGACTTTATTCTTGTTTGGGCCTGGGCGTGCTGACGTCACTGAACTATGGAAACCCAAGAAGCCGTTTGGTGGAAAAAAAAAATATAAAAAATCCAGATTTTTCAGAAATTAAATGTTCAAAAACCAAAAATCTAATTTATAAGAAGGTGAGCTCAGTCGTCAAATCAATATTTTACAGAGTTAATCTCCCGTTGTGTGGCATTTACAGCCACGTGTTTTCCTAATATTGTGTTAAAATACAGTGAAACCATCAGGGAGAATTTCATACTTATGGATAAACAGTAAATGTCATAACCTGGCACTTAGGACTTAACAGCAAACAGAAACTCATGGTAAATAACAAAGCCACACCTTTTATGATGAATCCCACAGATTTATTTATTGTTTTACATGAGAATCAACTAGCATTTTTTTTCCTACGTTACTTTAAAACAACTGAACAGTCGACATGCTACTGAGAAACCCAGTTTAACTGAGGTGATGTTCAAACTGAGGCTCCTAAGGGACAAAACTAAAAGTACACAAGAAAACATCAGCACCATGAGTGTAGCACCATCATACGAAGAGCGAGGTAAGTGTGTCATTTCAGTGCCTCCCCTCATGCATCTAGAACACACTGAATTGTTAGTCAAACACGTGAAATGACACAGACCCACTTCCTGATTATGCACCATTACAGTAGATAACATGTAACATGTAGTGTGACCAAAATCAAACAACAAAAAAACATTAAATCAGATTTAGGCCCACAGGTTTTTTTTAAGTTTAGGAGATTCTACATATGTTTAGAGTTTAAAATAAAACAACATAAATCCTGATGACAATGCATGACTTAGATGATTTACTTGGAGCATAAAATGAAACTTTACATTACAAACTTTACAAACCGCAACTAAATGGTGTTGCGGTTTTTGGCCGCAACACCATTTAGCTAGCCGACACAAGTATTGACGATAGTTTGATTATTTTTTAGATCTGGAAAAGAAAAAGTTTTTGAAATTTGAGACTTTATTCCTTTTTCTGACATCTAGGATAATCAATATGAACATTTGAGCTTACATCTGCTCTTATGGCCGCTAACTGATATTTACAGATATTACGAATTATGTTTCTCTACACTTTTGAGACCGGCTAAAAGCAACCACAAAAACCACACAGCAAAAACGCAAAATCTTACCAAGTAAGTTTGGTCTAGTTTCTAGTACTAATATCTTACTACACTTCAAATAAGAGAAAACTACCTGACAAGTAACTTTTCAGTAAGATGTGGTAGGATTTTGTGTGTTAGCCGTGTATGTTGCTTCTCATCCCATAATGCTTTGCTGCATCACTGTTATGGTCACATGATCAAACAAAAAAATTGATGGAAAGCACCAAGATGTAATTAAACGTTGGTCATTACCATCAGCCCAGTTTTACATATACATATATTTTGTCAAAATACTAACATCTCTTGGTGCTGATACATTGTCCAAATAAAAATGTTCCTATAAAAATAGTTTTAAAAAAATAGATTTAGTTTTAGGTAATAATGGGTAAAAGTACATTTAATTAAAGTAGAGATGCAAAATATATCAGCACAATGGTATTGGTCTGATAGCAAAAAATGTGCTAATATTAATAACCAATATTAATTTCCATCTTATTGGTGTTTTTATGTGATGGACGAATATTGATATCAGTCCAGATTTTCAAATCGGCGCAGACCAAATTTAAAGATTACAAAAAAGCCAAAGTTTACATATAATTCTTCAACTGGATCTGGTTTAATCTTCAGACATATTATTGATAGTCCTGGTTTTATTTTGAGAGTTTCAGGAAACAAAAACATCGATCTGTATGTATTTCGTCATATCCAAAATATGTTTTGACACGTCAAGATTTTGCAGATTTTCAAATGGTCTGAGTTTGTCCAGATGCTAAAAAAGCTTTTAGCAAACTGACGAAACAGAAAACAATTTTATTCCTTCACTGCTTATGAAACATACAAAAAATATCCAAAATCTTTTAAAACTTTTTTTTTTTAATCTAGAAAACTAGAGCGTAGAATCACGTCATATTAAGATTCAGAAATTGAAACAATTACTGTAAAATCTTAAAATGTGTCATGATGAGAGTGAAACAGCTGGAAAATTCAAGTTTTAAATCAAGGATTGATTTTTAGCAGAAGTTTTTTTAATTGTTTTGCGGCTAATTTTGTTTTCCCAAAGCATTTCAAGTATCAAATTTAAGGCTTTTATTATTTTCACTGCATATTTTATGTTGTTATTTTCTGTCCCTTTTTATCAAACCGAAGAGAAACCTAACATTTAGCTTTTATTCTGCATTTTGATATATTTCAACACAATTATGTTGCTCAACTGGTTAAGTAAGAAAACCGTCAATACAGTACTTTAAGCTCTGTTCCTATTTTAGGTATTTACCGCAGCAAAACTCTACAGTTAAAATATTGTTAACAGTCACAGTTCATTTTTGCACACAACAAAAAGTCCTTGAAAAACACAAAAATATGAGTAAAAATGCCACAAACATGAGGTTGTTTAAAGAGAAATTGTGGCTCCACATTGAGATTAATAAAATGAGTTACACAGAAAAACCAAAAAGTCAACACATTTCATTTTCATTACATATAAATTTATATATAAAAACTAAACAAACTGAAACTGCTGTCGGGGTTGAGGTAGAGAGCGATGCCTGCGCCACAAAGTGAGTTCAGCGGTTCTTAAAGTCGTCCTTCACACTGGATTAAAACCGAACCGGGACAGGAAACCGGGTGGTACTGGTGAGATTTTTATAAAAATTAAAATAAAATAAAATGCCACGTTTATCGAATGCTAACAGTAAATCAGTTGAAGTCATGAAAAATTTATTTTTCATAACATTTATCATGAAAAATTTCTTATCCTGATAAAAATTTGACTCGTTTTCCCGATAAATTCCAGCTAATAAAAAACAAAACTAACAGTATAATCTCAAGTTATTTTTAACTTTTTCTCCAGTTGTTTGTTCAAAGACAGCATCAATATATATCAGTAAATATGAAAATATGATTAAATGCAGTTACTGTGTGTAGATTAATGATATAAATCACAGTTTATATCACTAAATATAAGCCAGTTTCAAATGGGAATGTTTTTTTCTGGAGCAGTGAAGGCTGTCACAGCCATACGGTTACCTAAAGAAGAAATTTATTTATTTATTTTTTATCATAATTTTCATCAGTGTAGCACCACAAAATATCAGGATAAAGTTCTACGTCGCCCAGCCGTAGTTAGAAAACCTGAACTGGATTTCAGGTTGATCACATTCCGCTATAATGAATCCAGGAAGACTTGGTGCTGAAACCGAATCAAAAGCTGCTTCAACGACAAAATGTGCAGACTGCATGTCACATGTGCATTTCATCACCACAGCCTGGCATTTTAACAGTTATGAGAGCCACTGCAGCTTTCAGATGCATTCCTGCTGCACCACACCTGAATCAAAAATAGGTTATTTATATGGAAATAAATTGGGGCCATAAAATTTGTTTACATTTTTTAAAGCTGAAAAAAAGAATCCTGAAACTGGGAAAATAAGTTTAAAACTACTTTTCAACTTGACAACAGAGCAACTGGACAAAATATTTCCCAATGTTGCCATGGGAACTGGAATGTCTTTAAAACATAATGGATAATCTATGGCTACCTGTTTTTTTTTTTTTTTTTCGTTTAAAATATATTTTGCAGTTTCAAATTTTTTGTGTTCCAAATTCTTTTTAAGTTTCAAAATATTGTTCAGTTTCACATATTTTTTGTCTTAATGTTATTTTCAGTTTTATTTTTGTGTCAATTATTTTTTAGTGTCAAAATGTTTTTGTTTTAAAATTATTTTTCTAGTTTTAAATTCTTTTTTTTTTTCAAAAGTAATGTTTCAATTTAATTCTTTTTGCTTCAAAATTATTTTTTCCAAAAATTTTCTTTAAATTCAAAATTATGTGAACAATCTTTATGGCCCCA